CTGAGATTGTCACAAGCCAGCTGGGATAATCACTCACTTAGACAACCTACAACACACACAGAAGCAATGATGATAAAGTAACAAAAAATAATGACTCTCTGTGAAGCATTTTCCACAGCCTCCTTCTTCCAATCTCGCCACTGCTTGACATGAGCAGCTTTTGCTTTCTTTTGCAACGACTCCTTCAGCCCTTTGAAGTCCTCCATTTCTGCTACATCTAATGCATCCAGCACCAGATTGGCCAGCTCATCGAACAATACCTCCTCCTCATCATCTGCTGGTCTCTTTTTGCTGGAGGTATCCAACGACTCAACTTTGGCAGCAAGTTCTGCGCCCCCAATCTCGTCCGCAAGTGCCTTCAACAGATCAATCCGATTCTTGGCCTTGGGTTTTGTCAATGTTCCCAAAGTGTTGGCTCAAAAACGAAATCTCCGCGAAGGATAAATTCTGAGCCAGTGAGAGGAGAAGGGCTTCAATGGCTGGTTTCCAGCTTCCCACATCAAGCGCCGCAGAATGATCCTGAGTCAGGACTGCTTCAACAAGCGCTGCCTCTGTGGCATGAATGTCCAGCACAAAATGCCAAGACATCTTCTCATCAGGGCTAAGGATCATGGTCCTCCCACATGTTTTGAGCTTCCATGCCAAAATTGCCCACTTCAACGATGCAACGCACAAATAGCAATCAGCATCTGCCACATCTGACTCTGAACGGATTCTGAACACCATGCCTGGCTGCACAATCAAAGCAAGCTTGGCATCCTCAGTTCTCAAAAACCTATGTCAGTTGTGAACTTGAAACATTTTTAAAAGCAGCCTCATTATAGTATATATATTATATATATAGTAAACTAATGGGCCAAGGCACTTTGAGCTTGTGGCCCATAGACTTGTACCGAGCACAGAATGCACGGATCCATTCCCAAGCAGCTGATGATACACGCAGGGCCTCCTCAGAGAGAGTTCGCCACTTTTTCTCAGCCATCATTCCAGCAAAGAATTTCGGAAGTTTTTCTGAGGCAGACCTGGCTTGACGGGCGAATCCATGTTGAGCTTGTGTGATTTTCCAACTCGGCATAAATGACTCTCTGTCAAGCCTTGCAGGATGGGGAATACTCCGGGACTCAATGACATTGGAAGTCTGCACTACTCCATACATTTCTCTTGCAGTCAACATCCTGTTGGCGTTCTGAGATGCTTCATTCCTCAGTCTCTGGTGCAGGTCTTCTACAATCTTGGAATCTGGTAAGACAGTTACCAGAGTTGACAGTTACCAGAGTTGAAAGGATTGACAAAGCTTTGGTGTCACAGTTGACCTCATAGAGTTGATACACAAGACGCATGGGACTTGACACTGTGTCACCAAGGTCAGAGGAAAGCTCACGAGACACTTCTCCAGGTGACAACTCAAGTAAGCGCAGCGCCTTCCAGTCCTCAGTCAACTTTGCTTTGGTTTCTTCCCTCAGTGTCACATCAGCAGTCTCCAGGCACAGGCTGGCGTAACAATCTGGTGGACTGTTGAACTTGGAGAGACTGCGGCCACGATATCCCAACAACTGGACGACATAGTGATAAACACTCTGAACAAAAAGCTGCAAGTTCCTCTCTGCTTCATGCTCCACCAATTGCCTCAAGGACAAATCGAAATACAGCTTGACTCGGGAAAACTCTTCCGATTGGTGCAGCACATTGACGAGGTCCTTGAGGTGTTGCTCATTCAACCACAAATGGCCAGCAAGCTCCTGCGCAAGTCTGACCAGCCCCTTTTGAGGTGATTTCACCTTTTTGACAGAAGTGCCTTACCACTTCCACAGGGGCATTTCAACCAGGTGCAAGGCAGTGATGCCCCGCCATGTTTTCCATGATGTGCACGGATACCCCAGCTTGAAGCCACCCAGTGCTGCATCTCCACCGGCTCCAGTTCGACGGAGCTCGGCGAAGCTCCTGACATTCTATCAGGAGAAGGCTCCAACCCATGC